GTTTTGTATCAGAACCACACTTTATTGTTTTATAGTCTGTTCTACTATTTGGTAAGTTTTCAAATTCCAAAAAGTAAAATCTTTATAATTGCTTGAACTCCATAGATTAATTTGACATCTTTGCAATATTGAGTTTTCTCATCTAGAATTGTGTCTCTCCATTTATCACAATTTTCTTTTATATACAGAAGTACAGCTGGGTCTTACACATTTCTTGTTAATTTTATGTTTAGGTATTCAATGCAATTCTAAATGTGATCTTTCCTTTAATTGAATCTTCCCTTGCCAATGTATCTATTTAATATCTACTTCCAATTCTAGCTTTTTGTATTCTGTTTATCTTTGTAAACCCCGTTAAATCCTTTCAACAACATGTGGGATATAAGTAGGTTTTTAAACAGATTTTAACAATGTTGTAAGATCTGTATTTTGCTGGAAAGTTTAATGTGGCACAAGGAGCCTATTTTCACTCTAAGGAAATAAGAACAGTATTTACAGGCGTTGGCTCTCCAACCACTCTTTTTTTCTTTGTAAGTTTGCTTCTTAGACTAAAATTTGGCTTCAAGTCTTTGATATAAAAGAATTACTTTTAGGGGGAAAAAAGCAAAACAAAACTACGTCAAACTAGTCTCTTAATTACAGTCATTTGCCTACTGTGTCATGGTGTTCTGGGCAGTTTTGTTGAGTCATTAAAAGCATTTAGATCTAGATTTTTCTGTTCTAAAACGCCATACGTCCTTACGTAACAGCTGCTTGCGTTCCCTGCTTAGGTTGTGCCAACTCAGTCCAGGGAAACTGTGTTGAGATGAATTCCTTCCAAGATTGTAGTTGTGCAGCTGGGTGAGTGGTGATGTCCAACACTGAGAAAGAAACTCTGGAGGAGAAGCAGGATTGAAGGGAAAGATCCTGATCTTGTTTGAGGTGCAGGTGAGACATCTCCATGTCTGAGTCTCAGAGGAGGTCCAGCGTGGAGAGTTACAGGTGATAATTGTTGGCATATTGATGGTAATTAAAGCCATGGGTGTGCGTAAATTTATATAGGGAAAAAGTGTGAAGTGAGAAGGGAAGAAGTCCTAGACTTGAACCCTAAAGACCAGCAGTATTTGAGGTCAGGCAGAAGAGGAGGAACCAGTACAGGGGGGTAAGAAGTAGCAGAGAGGAGAAAAAGATGGAGCGATTGAGAGATTTCGTAAAACCCTATAGAGGATAGTATTTGAGGAAAGAGGGAGTTGGTCATTTTGTCAATTATTTCTGAAAGGCCACATGTTGTAAAGACAGGGAATGTCAATTGCATTATGCAATCTGAGGACACTCATCCAATCACCTACCAGTTATTTCACGTATTCAACAAGCCCTGTATGGACATTTCCTGTGTACCAAACTTCATGGTAGGCATGAGGGATAAAGAGGAGGTGGACCCAGGAGCACACAGTCGAGTGAGTCAGTCGTTGCTAGAAGAGAAAGTCGAAGGAGTGTGAAGACAGTGGGGAGGCACAAGCCCCGCTGGGGGAGAAATGGAAGCCAGAGAGGGAAGTTGTAAGTATTGTCCATTTGACTGTGTTGCTTGTACTTGAACCTGGCCAAGTCATAAGCCTACTGTGCATAAATCAGTATGACTCATTCTGAAGAGGGTCCTCCTGGGAGTATAGAGAAGCATATGTTTTCTTCTCTTAAAGACATTACAATCTCACTGGGGAGAGAAGTCAGATGCGATTATAAGTAATACAAGGTGACCATTAGGCTATGTCACAGGGTAGTATTTGCTTCATAGCTAGATAATAAGCACTATTCAATGAGACTTTCTACATGCCAGGTGCTTTATATACACATTATTTAATCTCAAGCAGCAAACTGAAGGTATTATCCACAGATGAGAAAACTGAGATATAAAGAGATTGCTTTCCTAGTATCATGAAATAAGTAAGGAGTTGAGCTGGAACTCAAACTTGGATGTGTTTGATGCCAAGTACATGCCTTTTCAACTCTGCCACATTCTATCTCAATGGTTCAGTGCTTTTGAAAAGTATACAGTGTTTTGTTAGAATTTCTTATTTTCTCTTTTACTGGAATACTACTGGAATCGTATCTGTTATATCAAATTACGGTCTATAGCCATAATTCTCAAATTATAGGGGGACCCCTGGGGGCCCTTGGGTTCTTTCAGTGGGGCCTCAAGGTCAAATCTCTGCATAATAACAGTAAGGTATCATTTGCTTTTTTCGCTATATTGACATTTGTACTAATGGTGCAAAAGCACTGGAGAGTGAAACTGCTGGTGCCTTACCAGAAATCAAGGCAGTGGCACCAACTCTAATAGTAGTCATTGTATTCCTCCCTGACACACACTTGCAATAGGAAAAAAGCCCTTCAGTTTCATTTAAGAATGTCCTTGATGATGCAATAAAGCTTACTAATGTAGTAAAATGCTGACATATGAGGACATGCATGCTGAGTAATGAAACAGGAAATACTCGTAGGTCACTTCAGCACAGTGATGTACGATAGTTGTCTTAAGGAAAGCACTTGGGCAATTTTTTGAGTTGAGAGATGAACTAGCTGTTTTTTTCATGGAACACCATTTTTCCTTGAAAGGCTGACTGAGAAACAAACATGATTTTCAGACTTGGACATTTGGCAGGCATTTTCTTGAAAATGAGCAAAGCGAGCCTGAAACTTTCAAGAAAAACTATCAGAATTTCTTGCCAGTGATAAAATTTGAGCTTTCAAGCAAAAATTAGAATTTTGGTGAACTTATATCTACCACCATGAGCTTGACAGCTAACTGACAGTAAAAGAGTTTTCTGATGATAGATATTGGTAGTGATATTAACAAAGGCGATTCTTTGGACATTGTCCTATGAACTATGTCAACATTTGGAAGATATGCATAATTCAGTAAACTGATATTTTTCAAACGTCTTGTGCATGATGTTATAAATCATATGTAGGTAAAATATCCTTTGAAAGTGTGAGATAGACCAATGGGTTTTAATGTAACAGAGTATGAAGAGTTCATTGATGTGTCTTCAGATTCTATATTGCAATCAATCTTTATGAAAGTACCATTTTTTAAGTTTTAATGTAGTATCAAAGACGATTATCCATAATTATCTGAAAAGGCAATTAAAATATTCCTTCATTTTTCCAGCTGTATATGACCAGATTTCTTCTTTAGACTTCATCCAAAGCAACATATAGCAACAGCTTGAATGTGGAAGCAGAGATGAGAATCCAGCTGTCTTTAAGCCAGATATTAAAGAGATTTGCGAAGCATAAACCAGTGCTACTCTTCTTACAAATTTTTTGTTTTGGGAAATATAATGGTTTCTATAAAATATATTACTTATGTTAACATAATAATAAACTATGTTTATTATTGCTATTTAAATTTGTTTTTTAAAAAAACCTCAATTTTAATATGGAAAATGTTGCAAAAACAAAAACTCTGGTGTCCTCAATGATTTAGAGACTGTGAAGTGGTCCTGAGGCCAAAACTTTTGAGACCCACTGGTCCATATTCAAGATCGCTGATTCTATCCTTTATCATCTCCACTGTACTATTGAGCCTATTCAAGTTTTTCATTTTGCTTGTTGTATTTTTTCAGTTCTGTAATTCCCATTGGGTTTGTTTTAATAACTTCTATTTATTTTCTGAGATTTTTCATTTGTTTCAAGTGAATTTGTAAATGACTGCTGAAACGTTTTTGTGGCACCTCCTTTAAAATCCTTGTCAGATAATTCCAGCATCTCATTCATCTCTGTCTTTGTATTTGTTGATTGTCTTTCTCTGGTTCTTGGTCTGATGGATGATTTTTTCTTTTACTGTCTGGGTATTGGGGTTCATTGATTGTATTTTCTCGTTTCTTGTATCCTGGACATTTTGGTTATTATGTTAGGAGATTCTTGATCCTATCTAAATCTGTTTTGGCAGGCTGTGCCCATGTTTAGATTTAGCATATATGTTCTGGTCCACTTTTGTGGGCTTTAATTCCAATGGCAGTTTAGTTTTCTGAGTCCTTGCAATGTTATTCTGGTCTGCTTCGTTTTTCTGGTGTTGCTGAGCTTCCTGCTTAGTCCCTGCTGGTGCCACCTGCGGGGGAAGAAGGTACTTTCACAGTTTGCCTGCTCTCACTGGGTGACCTCCTTGGGGTGGGGGACAGGCCCTTGGGCCTGGTTATGCCACCGGTGGAAAGGCAGGGAGACAATACTGCTTCAGTGCCTGTTTGGTGGAGTGGGGTCTGGGACATCCCAGGACTTCACTGCTGTCCCTTTTGTGGGTGGATGGGACTGCCCGCTAATGGCTCCATTGTGCAGTGGGGTCTGGGAGATCCTGGGACTTCGCTGACACTGCTCTAGGCTGATCAGATGGCCCACTGGGGGCCCAGCTGATAAGCAGGGCTTGAGAAGGTCTGGGGCTTTACTGTTGCAGCTGCTACAGGCAGATCAGACTGCTGCTGGGGCCCAGCTTTGCAGTGGGGACAGGGACAGCCCCGAGCTTCCACTGGTGGGTTGGACGGTCCGCAGGGGCCCTAGTTGTGGAGTAGGGTTTAGGGCTCCTCATGACTTTTTTTTGACTTTCCTTTTCCTGGCCCTTCGGCCACAGAAAGCAAGCTTTGTTATTTGTTTTTGGTTTTAGTTGCCTATGCTTTTTGGTGCTTCCAGGCCCCTCTGGTCCCCAGTTTGGGGTATATGGGAGATAAGAGAAAACCCAGGGCACTCAGCACGTTGTCATTTCTTAAGTCCTGAGGTCTCTAGCCAGTCTACCTTCTTCTATGCAACTTTCAATTATTTTAGCATTGTCTGTTGAATCATTTCAAAGATGTTTGGTTGTATTTAGAGGAAGGACCAGAGAAAAGTGAGTCTACACAATCTTGTTTTAAAATCAGATATCACTGCATATGTTTTATGTTGAAAAATGAAGAAAAATTATGTCAATGTAGGTTAACTTTTGACATAGGTTGTCATTATAAATGTTTTATGATATTTGTTTCTTTTTATAGGAATTATGTTGGAATATGAAAAGAGTGGAGAGCTAAAGACCAAATCCATAGATTTGCTTGATCTCGGTCCCAGGTAAGTGGGCTATATAATGCAACATGTATTTCATACCCAGAATTTTTATTGGAAAACCCTAGCGTAAGATGTTGTGTGGATGTGCTGCATAAACTACAGACAACACATTACTAGAAAAAATTGTCCTTCTGTGCTATATTATTTCCTGTTTCAGTGAGTTCTACTTGAGTGTCTTGCTGCATGAAGAGAAGGTGGAAGAAGGGTCATCAATCTACCATCTTTTTCTTCCTAAACAAGCTGTTCTTCTTTTTAAATAAACTTTTTAATTTAGGATAGGTTTAGGAAAGTTGTGAAGACTGAGTTTCCAGATACCCCACACCTAGTTTCCCTTATTATTAACATCTTAGCTTAGTATGGCACATTTGTCACAATTAATGAACTAGTGTTGATACAGTATTATTAACTAAAGACTATATTTCATTCAGTTTTCCTTAGTTGCCTAATTCTCTTTTCCTCTGCCAAGATCTCATCTAGGACACCATATTGCATTCTGTTGTCACCTCTCCTTAGGCTCCTGATGACTGTGACAGTTTCTCAAAACTTTCCTTATTTTTGATGACCTTAGCATTTTTGAGGAGTACTGGTTATAGGATTTTAAGAATATTGCTGCGCCTGTTATTTTCTTAGTTGATAAATATCTCCTTGGGCTGACTGCATACATTCCTCTTCATTGATTGTCACAGGGCGGAGTTGGGAGGACCAAATCTTTGTCTCAGAAGCTTGTGCACCTGGAGGAAATCCCCTTGTGAGAAATCTTGTGAGATCAGATTGCCTAGAATTCATTCCCTTTAGGGAATCTTATGCAAAATTCCCCTTCAAGGGACTGATTATACCTGTTCCAGATTATATCTGAGCCCAAGTTCAGATAAGGTGAAAATATTCTCAGTGGGAGAAAATAGGACAAAAATACCACGATATGTGTTTTAGAGTTGTGGCCCAGAGAAATAAGCGATTTTTCCATTATCGTCCTTTTACTTTGTCCTGATTAATGGGGAGGGGAACAGAGAGTGTCAGCAAAGGGACCTCTCCCATAACCAAAATGAAACAGTAAACGAGCTGCTCCCAAGTTTTAAAGTAAGCCCAAAAGCCATATGGCTGGTGAGAGCTGCTGCCACTGGAGAGGTTTAGAATTTAAGGGGACACTTTCTTAGGCTGAGGACAGGGCATGGCTCGGAGGATCATGGCTTAGATAGAGTCCAAGTCTTATTCCAAGTGCCTGGCATAGAGAAGGTACTCAATAGGTTTTTTTTTTTTAATCAAAGAATAAACAGTGGCAGAGATAATATCATTGAATTTCATCTACAACAACCCTTGTTTAATCTGTTTTCAGGGAAGACAAGGCCTAAGATCAAATCAAGCTTTTCCATTATTTTTGTAAATGGAACATACTACTGATTCACGTGATTATGCCAGTGTGCAGAAAGTTCCTTTGCTAGATGTAAATCCACTTAGTCAGCAATGATGTATTTGTACCTCCTACATGCAAAGCTCTGGGTTAGATTCTGTGAGAGGCTGTAAAGATACTAATCATAATTCCTACCCTCCGATGGGCTTATTGTCTAGTTTGAGACACAACTTGTACACAATAGAACATCATATGAGTGGTACAGGTAAACTATACAAGAGAATGACTTTCAGCTAAAGAGTCACTAAAAACACAGATTTTGTGTTTGAAAGTATAGATCCATAGGTCATTTCAAAGAGGGCTTGTGGGGCTGTGAAACCAGGAGCTCTCAACACCGTGACCAAAGACTGAACTTCTCCATAGGATGCTGTAGTCATCCTATGTAGTAAATAAATGTCTCAAAGAAAAAAAAATAAAGTATGAATCTTATTTATAGTTCTGGTCAAGAATCTGGGAGTTTTCTGCGTGTAAAAACACCTGCAGTATATGTGACATACTGGAGTTACTGTATTGGAAAATAGCAATTAGGATACTGCAGGCTGGGGGTGTATGGATTAAATATCTGGCTAATTTAGATCTTGGTAGGAAATCTGTTTTGATTTGTAATAGTTGTTGGAAACCTTTCCAAGAGGCATTATTATCTTTTCTTTTCCTTTCTTTCTTTTTGCTGTGGAAGATTTGCTCTGAACTGACATCTGTGCCAGTCTTCTTCTATTTTTTAGTATGTGGACAGCCAGCACAGCATGGCCACTAACAGAGCAGTGTGGGTCTGCTCCCGGGAACCGAACCTGGGCCATCAAAGCAGAACACACTGAACTTAACCACTAGGCCACTGTGGCTGGCCCTTATCTTTCTAATTCCTATGAGTATAACTCTTTCAGCAACTGAATCTCTTGGAGTTTATTAAAGTCATCATTATAAACTGTCTCTGATTCATTTCCATTCCAAATATTCACTCCTGTTCTGATAGTTTGTATTTCTTGAGAGCTGGGACCATATCTTTTGCACTTGTGGGGCCTCACCTATAGTAGATAGTCAGTAACTGTTAGCCAAGTGGATAGTCTCCCAGCTCAGTGCCTTCCACAGCACTGGACCTCAGGACACGTTTATTTATGAAGAGGAGAAGGATGCTTATCAGAGTTCACATTTCTGGGAGCAGATGCTGAGGCAGAGGGAGGTGGGTAAAAGGTTGTTGAGAAGTGACACCTGTGACAGACCAGGAGATGAAGCAGGGTCAGGCAGGAGGAGCCATCAACTATGATGATGATGATGATGATGATGCAGATTTGACCACAGAATCTCTGCCAGCTCAAAGGGGAGCTCCGGAGCAAAGCTTGCCAGTTACAGGGGTCCCTTACCAGGCAGTAATGTCCGGGCTCTTGCACTACCCTCTTACTCAGCCCTGGGCTAAGGGCCACCAAGAAGAGTGTGCCCTAGGCTCCAGTGCTGAGGTGGATCCTGGAGGAGCTGAGCTGGAGGCTGTCAGCTAACCCAACACCTCCCTCACAGCTGGGCCACGAGTCCTTTCTTGATACGTATTTGTGACATGTTTTGCAAAATAACCCTATTTTGGATGCTTTGTGGTATATAGACATTAGTATTTGTCTTGAACTAATATTATTCTGGACTAGCAAAATTTACCAGACTTGAATACTGGGGGAAACTTGAATCTACACTTTGCAGACCACTTTTCTTTGAGGGAAATAGTGTTATAGCCAATAATAATAATAATAATTCTTTGAATGCTTATTTTTGGTTAAGTACTTTCTCTTTCCCTAAAAATATTTAAAACCTAACCTTTTTGAATCTCATTTTCTTCATTACTAAAATGGTTATGACAAAAGTGTTAAATGAGAGAGTTGTTACAGGAGTAGATGAGAGAACATGTGTAAAGCGGAAGGTATAGGAGTACCAGATGTTCATTTAAAAGAAAAAAAGAAACAGGAAAAAATAAAGAGAAAGAGCTCATGTTCAGAACCAGGATGCACTTGGCTTTCTTAGGTAAGCAATCAGATTCTTCGCACATCCATGGGAGAAGTCTCAGCTAAGGAAAGTTATTCTAGAGAACTCGAGTGGTTTTCATCTGTGCTTGTTATTGATTTGTATGATTTTTTTCCCCCAGAAATCTCTTGGTGAAGATGATGTTGTTCTTGACATTTTATAAACGTGGTGCTTTGTAAAGCAATGCCATTCTTCATGTCATGAATGTATATGCAATGTTTTGCACAGAGAAAAATAACATTTGTGTGTGTGTGTGTGTGAATTTCAGCAGTGATGTCGATGCGTTAGTGGAAGAGATTCAGAAAGCAGAGCCTCTAATTACAGCTTCACGAAAAGACCAAGTGAAACTTCTGATACAGAGATTACAGGATAAACTCGGACAGCACAGCAATCACAAATTCTATCTTTTTAAGGTAATGTGTATTGAAAAAAATACTAGGTAGAAGAATTTCGATGAATTAATTGATATCCTGTTAATTCGAGGTAAAATGCAAATCAAGCTTTCTCTTTCCCTCAGTGCCTCACATGTATTTGCTAAGACTGTCTCAAAAATGTTTGTTGAATGAATGGATGAAATTCAAACATTTATGTCTTGAGAAGTTAAATGAATAAGTTTAATTCTAGTAAGTTTAGCTCTTCTTTATAATGATAAAGTTAAAGGATAACCATTAAGGTGGTAAAGTTAGTGAATAAATAAAAAATTTCTTCTAGTTGGAGTAATAAGAAGTTGTGTTTTATGGTATATCAATATTTCAAATTTTCTGCTTCCATGTGAACTAACTGTATTTCAGTAAATGTTTTATTGATAGGGCTTATATAATAATTTTAATGTAATATAAATACGTTAATTTTTTCCTATAGTTTTTGATGATTAAATTAAAAATATAACAAATGTAGTCATTGATTACTTCAAGATCAACTTTTATTTTCTCTTTATTAACAATATTTAATAGTTTATTCCAGAATTGCTTCATATTATGCTAATTTTTTTGATTTAAATATAATTATAATAAAATATAACAATTATCTATATATTCAGCATATTCTATCTGATACAAAATATCCAGGCAATCTTTTGTATTAATCTATTCAATTTACTGAAAGAGGACAAGGTGATTCTTATAATATTTCTTTTTCCAGTAGGTGGCACTATTTAACTTCAAATATGAGCTAAATAACCAGCGGGACCTTTTAATCTATCCTCCAAAGGGAACATTTTTAATAGTGAAAGGGGACGCTATTAATAGTTACACTCTGGCAGCAGACATAACTGGGACTGTCCCAGCCTAGTCAAGCACTCTATCTATAAACAGGCTATCCAATTTAAGTATATTCATTCAATGAATATTAAGCAGTCACTATCTGCTAGACAATGTAGGGATTGAAAGATTAGACATATCCTGACTTTATCTAAAGGAGCTTCAGGATTCAAAAAGTGGTAATACATTGTAAAATCTGTATTTGAAACGTATTTAGTACACTTCCTCTATACACTCTTCATGGAAAACCATGTGCAATATGTAAAAGAAAATATTATAAATGAGTGCAACTGGGTACCTTATTTAATAGCCACAATTTATCTTAAAGCCAAATTGATGGAAAACACAGATTATCTGTAACTACCAAATGTGTTATTGGTCTTAATAATAAGAGGTACAATGTATTCTTTCTCATTTGTTCAGATATTGGATATTGTCCATTTATTATGTATAATTACGACAAACTTGGTTGTCTTCATTGGTTTGAAGTTAAAATTAATGAATTAAACTTAACTTTGAGTTTAAAACAAATGTTGTTTTCTTTCATTGAAGGTTCTGAGAGCACATATACTGCCATTGACTAACGTTGCACTTAATAAATCGGGCTCTCGGTAAGGTTCTTTATTTATTTAAAAAAATTTTTTAATAGACTTTATTTTTTAGAGAAGTTTTAGGTTCATAGCAAAAGTGAGCAGAAAGTGCAGAGCTTTCCCATATACTTCCTGCCCCCCCTCCCCCACACCCACAGCCTCCCCCACTATCAACATCCTCCACAGAGTTTTACATTTGTTACAGTTGAGGAACCTACATTGAGACATCGTGATCACTAAAGGTTCATAGTTTACGTCAGGGTTCACTCTTGGTGTTGTACATCCTGTGGGCTGACAGATGTATAATGACATGTATCCACAATTACAGTATCACACAGAGCAGTTTCACTGCCCTAAGAATGCTCTGTGCTCTGCGTATTTATTTCTATTTCTATTCACTATTTCTAATTTTTAACAATCAAGGGATAAAAATTTTTTAAAATAAAAATTGTATATATTTAAGGGATACAATGTGATGATTTGATATACATATATGTAATGAAATAATTACTACAGTCAAGCTAATTAGCTTATCTCCTCACAGTTACCAATTTTTTTGTGATGAAAGCACTTGAAATCTATTCTTTTTGCTTATTTCCAGTATTCAGTACAGTATTATTAACTATAGTCATCATGCCATACATTAGATTTCTAGATTTAATTATCCTACTGAACTTCAATTTTGTACCCTTTAACCAACATCTCCCAATTTCTCCCACCCCCAAACCCCTGGTAACTGCTGGTCTACTCCCTGCTTCTATGAGTTCAACTTTGTTTTTTTATGTGCCACATGTAAGTGACATCATACAGTATTTGTCCTTCAGTGTATGGCTTGTTTCACTTAGCGTGATGTCACCCAGGTTCATCCATGTTGTCACAAATGGCAGGATTTCCTTCTTTATCATGGCTGAATAATATTCCATTATTATACACCACATTTTTTTTTTTATCCATTCATCCCTTGATGGACACTTAAATTGTTCCCATATCTTAGCTATTGTGAACAATTCTGCAATGAACTTGACTGCAGAGATCTCTATGAGATCCTGATTTCATTTCCTTTGGATGTAAACCCAGCTGGGTCATATGGTAGTTCTATTTTTAAATTTTTTGGGGGAACCGTCATATTGTCTTCCATAATGACTGTATCAATTTACATTCCCAAAGAAGCTAGGAGGAAAATGGCTTGTCAACCTTCCTGTTTAGTTGAGTTTAGATATCAGAGTTTGTTTTCACTTTTTATCACACCACTTGACATTCAGACTGGCTTTTCAATTTTGTGCATTTTTTTTTTTTCCGCTGGGAAATATCTTTCCTAACAGAATATTTAAAAAATAATAAGATACTGTAGCATTTTGAATTAAAATATTAGAGGTCAATATACTAACTATTCCTGTAGTGCAGCAGTCATGTTAAAGGATTGTTGAATATTAAACATTTCTTGAACATTTACGAGTGTGCCAGTCATTGTTGCGGGTCCTGGGGAGGATGGTCCTGAGCCAGGACGAGCAAGTACAAAAGAAACCATGCCGTTCTTCAGAGACTAGCAAGAAGGTGAATCTGGCTGGTCAGGATGTACTTTTGGGAGAAGTTGAGGTCTCAGAGATAGCCAAGGATGCCGGCCTTGTACACTGCAGGCAGAAGTTTAAATTTACCTCTAGATTGCTAAGAAGTCATTTGAGGAAGGTTAAAAAAATACCTCCAATTTCTGTGCGGAAAATACTTGACTTTTAAGGGCCATGTGTGAGCCAAGACCCATTAGATGGTTTCACTTATTTAGGCAAAAGATGGAGGCGATGGAGCTGGTGAGAAAGGGCCATACGAGGGATGTATTTTGACGTTGTGCTAACAGAATTTACTAAAAGATTTTGTGTGGGATGTAAGGGAAAGAGGGGAATCAAAGATGATGCTAAGATTTTATGGTCTGACTAACTGGAAGAATGATAGTGTTTATTGAGATATATTAGAGTTTCAGAAAATGTTATGTATTATTAGCATTATTTAGTTATATGATTATTGATATTATAAGAATGATTGTTGGCAGGATTACTCTTTATTTTATTTAGCAACTCCTTTTTGTGTTTGGGATGAAATTGGAGAATTTCCAGGCTAAAGGATTTAGATATTGTTCCTAACTGTTTGTTCTACATACACAATTTCCATCCTAAAAAGCAAGGTAAATGGGGTTATTATCCTGCAGGTAAATAAAAGTGGTCTTGATTAAACACTGTTATTATCGCCTTGTGATTTATTTATACTCCTTGTGTTAGCTTTATCACAGGAAGCTACGATCGGACATGCAAACTCTGGGACACTGCATCTGGAGAGGAGCTCCACACGCTGGAGGGCCACAGGAATGTGGTCTATGCCATAGCGTTCAACAATCCTTACGGGTAAAAAGACATTCACTCATTCACTTATTCCTTAATTAATCCATTAATTCATTGATTCATCTCTTCCTCCATCTATCGGGAGAGGAAAGGAAGAAGACATAGAATTAAAATTTATTGAGTGCCTGATATGTGCTTTGAAAGTCTTTTAAATACCTCCTTCAGTGCTTAGAGGAGCTTTGGGATAGGTATTACTGTCCTCGTGTAAAGTCTATAAAGATCAAGCACCCCTCCCAGGATCACACAGTAGTTAAGGGCAGAGACAGTTCAAGCTTGAGCAAGGCTGACTCTATGCCCTTGGGAATTCTCGGACAGGCAGCTCCTACTGATGTGACAGCACTGGGCTGATGCTTCTGGAGAATGTGCATACATACATAACGTGGTTTGCTTTGTTTAGAAGTTAGTTTACAACCTTACCAGGTAGAAAAAAATGTGTATAGTAACATGCTAAAAACAGAACCAAATACACTAGAAGGATTTTTAAAGCAGCCTCTAGCTACCCAATTCAATAGATTAACCAACATTCTCTATCCTTTTGTGCAGCATACTACTGATGCTTATGACTCCCTGAATGCTTGCAGCAACTAGGCTGCCCACTGGGCTGCTTAACTTCTCTTCTCACTGGTTAGGCTCTAAGCTAATTAAGAGTGAGTTGTATTTGTGCACAAACCTGCTTATGTTGGTGGTGCTCTCAATTGTAATTATGTAATTTAATACGTTTTTTCTGTGAAGACATAGATAAGGTAAATCTTTGAAAAGTTGTTAGTAAGTGACGTTGTAGATGAGACCTATGTAAAAATTAGAAAACCTATTGTAAAAATTTAGAAAAATTCGGCACTTGGATTGTTCTGTGAGTGTGTTTAGGTTCCTTAAGTTCTCATTCCACTTTAAAGAAAAGAAAATTGGAAATTATGGAGGTTGGATGTGATTTCTGTAAGACAGATAATGAACTCCAATTAGCTGATAAGGCCTTGGCCTCTTGTCGCAAGATTGGCAGATGGATGTATATATTTCACTAGAAATTTTTAACGTGTATTTTTTTTGTGATTTCCCCCTTTAACTGACTTTTTCCATTAACTAAGCTGCTTCAATAAATATGTTTGTGTTCCTGAAGCATTATGATAAGTAGAAAAAACAGTGAATGGTTTAAAAGTTAAGAAGAGCAAGAGATCATTGTGATTTTTCCTGGTTAAGGATGCTGTGAGATTAAAGTGTAGGCATGAAAGATGGAAGGTGGAGAGAGGGGTGATGAGGACACCCTGGGCGAAGGGACCTTAGCAGCCCAGTGTTTCTGGTGAGACATTGTCAGACACATTCAGCGGCCAGTCTCTGTGGTGAACATGCCATGTTGAGAAACAGAAGCGGGTGAAGTCAGAGCATTCCGTGTAGTTTGAATTCTGTTCTGGGGGACTGAGTTGCTATGAAAAGTTTGTGGACATGGGAGTGACATAAGGAAAGCGCTATTCCAGGATTGCTCTGGCAGAGAGAAGGGATCAGGGGTTTTGGGGTGGGAAGAAACAGGAGGCAAGGAGATTAGTTAGGAGGCAGAAGCAATAATACACACATGAGATGATGGACACTTAGTCTAGGATAGTGGCAGCAGCAATAGGAGAAATTTTATAAAAATGTGGTGCACTTAGGACAGAAATTTTATACCACAATTTGTAAAAACTTATCATCTAGGTTGCTAATGTCATTACATCTTTTAAAAAATGTAATACACTTTCAAAACACGTTAATTGTGATGGCACAAACTTAATTGGTACAATTAAAATGATTAAATATTTCAAGTAAATTACAGAAAATTTAACTTTGATGCATGCATTTTTACATTGTAGAGAATGATCATTTTTATAATACTTTATCGCACCAACTTATGGGAGAGAAAGATTTTATTGAAATTATAAATGACACTGTTTTACTTCTGATATAATCCCTACTTTAATTGCAATGTTATTTAAAGGATTTTAAAAGTATGTTGTCTATAATATAATACCGTCTCCTTTAATAGTCGACTTAACAGACATGACGTTTTTGGATGTCTATCTGAGAACTAAGGTCTCTGGGGATGGAGATGTGAGGAACACTCCTCACTTTTTGGTTCCTCTATTGAATTCTACCAGGTGCCCCTGATGAAGAACCCGCTTGTCCAGTGACATAGTCTGATGATTTATGTTTGGGTTAAAGCAACAATTTTCACTACACGTTGGGGCATTGGAGTTTCAGTGGAGTGAATTTAAGAGAACCACTGAAGACGAAGAGGGAGTGTGTGTGTGTGTGTGTGTGTGTGTGAAAGAGAGAGAGAGAAACAAGCTTCAACCAGTTTAGTGTTTATTTGTTTTATACATTAGATCAAGAGTAAGCTTTGATTCAATAAAGTAATTTTAAAAATCATTGAAATTAGTAAATCTTTTATAATGTGGTACCCAATGGATATAGAGAGCCATATGTGATAGAACAGAAATGGATCAAGAAACAGTAGCAACTTGAGACCAATGTGTTTGAGGGGCAGGAAGGATGAAAATGAATGGAGGAAACTGATGAAGAACTCATAGGGCTTTCAGTACATCTTGAGCAGAAGTTGAAAGACATCGGCAGCTGATGGAAAAATGCCTTAGACTGGATGTCAAAGGAGAGCACCAGTGCAGAGACTGGCTTGTGGAAAACCAGCCTTGTGTGTTAGAAAGCTTTGATGGGGGGATGAGTATTCCCCAGGACAAGATGTCCCTGGAGCATCAACAGAAAGGACCTTGCTTCCCTTTGGTATTGCAGACCACAGAAATACTATGTGGGTGGCCTGAGAACGGGGGTGAGAAGCAAGATGTTAGTGTTAGTCTGGACAAATATAAATCCTGAAACTGTGCTGAGCACTTATAATTTGCTTTGGGATAGATGTTTTGGATCTCAAGACCCCTCACACTTTTGGACAAGGAGCTTGCACTGTAAATGATAATCCAATTTGGTGAACATTTTGATGATTTGCTATTTAAAAGACAGATAGGGGTCAGGGATAAAGGAAAAGATTTTAGTTCCATGACAAAATTCCATTCTATCCTGCTCTTACCTCTTGGGTGTTGACAGTAGCTTTGCTCAACAATAAACACAGAAGCTCTTGTTTGAAAGGGACTGAAGTCTTTATCATATCTCCTCTTTCAACCCTCTTTCTTGTTCAAAGACCTTAAAACTGGAATAATAAGGATAATATTTTGACAAGGAGATAATATTTTGACAAGGAGACACTCACTGTCTAATTTTTCAAAACTTTGTCTAGTTATATGGTTAATTGGATTTATATCTTTTCAGTTTTCTTCTTGTAAATTCTATGTTATCCTTTTCAGTAGACATGCTAATAGAGTTTTTCTATGTTTATATAACTCATGTTATATATTATTTTCATTTGTTAGTAATTTTCTAAACTAAATCTTTTACCATATTCATTGTGCTAATTTAAAAGATTTTGTAATCCTAAACATATTCCTTTAATGTAGAATCTTTAAAATTAAAAGATAAACTGATACCATTAAAAAATTAGACATTTATTTTGTTATCCACTGAAACAAATAAAGGATTGCTTAGTGTTTTAAAAGTGAAGTAAATTTCTGAGTAGAGATCCATATATTAATATCTGGTCTTAATTCAGTGTGTCATATACTGTGATTGGATTTGATTTCAAAGTCCACAAAATTTTTTTTCAAATTTTAGTGACAAAATTGCCACTGGGTCCTTCGATAAGACTTGTAAACTATGGAGTGCAGAAACGGGAAAATGTTACCATACCTTTAGGGGTCATACAGCAGAAATAGTGAGTATGTTTATTTTATTATATTTTTTACATTGCTGGTCTTTTTTAAAAAGCTTTTTCCTTTTTCTTTCAATAGACTTTATTTTTTAGGGTGGTTTTAGGTTCACAGCGGAATTGAGAGGAAAATGCAGAGAGTTCCCATATACTCTCTGCCTCCCCCCTCCCCACTCCACACAGTGTGCCCACTATATCCCCCATCACGGTGGTACATTTGTTACAAGTGATAAACCAACATTGACACATCATTGTTATTTCTTTTTAGAATTCCAGTATAAAATTAGTGTGGTTCTACCTTTATAATTAATTTTAAAATCCCATCCAGTATTTTAGATCTATATATTTTAAGTGCTGGTATTGATATAATTTATAAGCTACTCTAGCTTTAATATCTTGCAGATATCCCGCATTGACTAAGTAGACACGTAATATGATAAGTATATGAGTAAAACATCCAACCTGACTTTTTCTTTTTCATTGATTTATCTTTAAAGGACTGCCTCTATAAGGGTTGATGAAGTTCTCAAAATAGCTTTTAAAGTAACTTTTTTAAATCATGTAAAATACTTAGGCTGATTGTCGTCTTGATATCATTAGAACTTAAATTTGCACAAATAGTTTGATACTCTAAGTAGCTCTCACTATTGGGAAGCCCTTGCTATTGGTCAACTTGGTCAACAATTAGCGAGGTAATTGGTACCCTATGGAACAAGTGATAGCTTCTTTTTTTTTTTAAAGATTTTATTTTTTTCCTTTTTCTCCCCAAAGCCCCCCAGTACGTAGTTGTATATTCTTTGTTGTGGGTCCTTCTAGTTGAGGTATGTGGGACGCTGCCTCAGCGTGGTTTGATGAGCAGTGCCATGTCCGCGCCCAGGATTCGAACCAACGAAACACTGGGCCGCCTGCAGCGGAGCGCACGAACTTAACCACTCGGCCACGGGGCCAGCCCCAAGTGATAGCTTTTTAAAATAAACAGCCTGCTTATTTTAGGAGTAAAATCTGCTTATATGAATCCTTCAGGTTCATGGTATATTCATCCAGCAGGAGCTCATGCTATGTTCAAGATACTTTGCTAGACACTGGGGATATCGCAGTGAAGAATTATAACTGACTCTTTAATGGCACTCACTGTGCATGGAGCACTATTCTAAGCCCTTTGCATATAGTAGCTTGGTTGCACCTGATAACAACCCTAAGAGGTAGATATTTCCCCATTTTACAGTTGAGGATATTGAGGCATAGAGAGCTTAAGTAACTTGCTGACGGTCATAAGACAGACATAATCCTCATTCTCATATTGTCACTATGTTTCCACATGCCCTTGGAATTTTGAAAGATTTTCTCTATATATAGTTCCTAGGAAGACATCCATATTTTTCATGGTCAACATCATCAATCCAATAAATATTTGCTAAATATTGACTGTGTGAGAAGCTCTGGCCTATGTGCTTGGATTCCAAATAGAATCAGACATAGTTCTTGCCCTCCAGGGATTTTGCAGTTTGGTAGAGGAGTAGAGGAGTCAATGAATAAGTCCAAAGACATGTGGTAGGTGTGCTAGAAGTTGGCAGAGTGTTTAGTGAGGGCACAGAGGGGAGCAGTCCAGTCTCCTTGGTGAGGGGAGGTGTTCAGGAAAGACTTCACAGAGAAGTGGCACATGCATTTTAGGCAGAGGGAGCCATGCTGGCAAATGCCCAGAGGAGGTGTGCAATAGTGGTACGTGCTTGAGAACTCAAGTGGCTCTGTGTGGCAGAGCAGTGCTTTCCAACCTTCCCCAGTGATGACATGCACAGAATATGCTAATATGGATTTGCAATGCACCCTGGGGAGCTGTCTGCTGCCCACCATCAGAGGTGACAGGCAAAGATCCCTGGTGGTGCCCAGCTGCCTGGGTTAAGAGTGTCAGTGTCTTGGCACACCTGTAATCCGTTCAAAGGCAGGCCACAGCGTGTGCATGATTGAAGTGGGAGAGGCAGACAAGGCCATTTATAGTTTTATAGAGGGTCTCATAAGCTGTGCTAAGGAATTTGGACTTCCTCCTGTAGATAATGCTATAGGTGGAGACTTTTCAGCTGGGAGATGACGTGGTCAGTTTTGCTCTTTGGGAAGATCATTTTTTTCCTGCAGTGTGAAGGCGAAATGGGAGGTAGGTAAGATTAGAAGCATGGACCACTTGCGGATCTTGTTGCAGTCCAAGCAAAAATGATAAAGGCTTGTCCTGAGGCAGGTGAGGAGAATGTGAGAGAGGTTGGGGATGGAGGAGTAGGACTGGATTACCAAGGAGATATGAGACATGAAGGAAAAGGGAATCCAGGATGGTTCCCTGATTTCAGGCTTAGGCAACTGGCAGTGCCATTCACCAATTCTGTACACAAAAGAGGAGGAGCAGGATTGTTTCCTATGATGCCCGTGTCTTGGACAGATGGATAAAAGCTGTGTGATATCCAAACAGAGGCATCCATTTGGCAGTTGGCTTTTGGGGCTGAACTAAGCAGCGAGGTCTAGGAAGGAGACATGGTTGTGTGAGTCACTGGCGTCTGGGTGGCAGTAGAAATAACTGATCAGTTGAAACTGCTCCAAGGAAAAGGTAGAGTATGGGGAGAAGGCTGATGGAATCTTGGGAAGATGGGGAAGAGAAACTTTCAAAAGACAAAAAAAAGAGAGATAAGACGTAAGAGAAGAAAAGCAGAGTGCTGTCAAGGACATCAAGAAGGAAGAAAATATTGAGAACCTCAGGGAGGTTAAGCGGGATGATTGACCAAGCCTCTTGAATTGGATGTTTAACCAGTGGTTTCAGTAAAGTTGAAGAGTGAAAGGTGGGCAAACAGGGAGTGACGGTAGACTATTTTTCCAAGGAATTTGGTTGTACAGGGAAATGAGGTAGTTAAAAGGGAGATACATAGAGTCGAAGGAGGCTTTGTTTCCATGTGGGAAAAGCTCAAGCATATTTATAGGCCACCGGGAAGGATCTAGTCTAGACGGAAGGAAAAGTTGGGGGGCACATCTCCCCTAGGAGTGCAAGGAAGGGGGTGTCTTAGAATGGATGAAGAGATCTCTCTGAGACAGCCTGACGGAAAGGAGATTGAGGGCCAGGTGAGGGAGTTCCCACGTGATCGAAGAATTTTCTCAGGGAAGTAGTAGGAGGCAAGCTTATCTGCTGAGGAGGAATGAGGACGGGAGTAGAGGCAAGAGTGGGGGATGCGAGGATGTGTGCAGCCAGTGGCATGTTAAACAAAGTAGGGAAAGGTGCTGAGGACGGAAGACATGAATGAACAACACAAGTAATCTGCTCTGTCAGTTTCTTAAGCTGCCTCAGCAGAGTGATGAGGTAAGGAGGGCAAGTGAGCAGATAAAATCTCAGCTTGATATAAGTTGTTAGGAGTTTTACGGAGGATGCAGTTGAAAGACAGGACTGGGTCTTGAGGATGCTGGCAGGAGTGATGCTCCCAGTTGAATGGGGATGATGGACCAGGAGAAAAGGAAAGGATCTCAACGAGGTGGAAGATATCCTGGTTGGGAGAGGTGGTGTGGTAGGTGGTGCGGTAAGGAAGAGAAAAAGCTGGAATACTGGGAAATTTTAACTATAGACTGGTGTCTTGGTAGTGAATGTTCTAGAGAAGATTCAAGGCTGTAAAGATGTCATTCAAGATATCAAGGTCCAGGGTGTGGCCATTGGAGTGATTATGAAAAGGAGTCCAGGATCATGGGTCTGGGGGTGTTGGACAGATGGCCCACACATAGGCCTCCTAGGATTTGGAATTGAGACTGAGCCAATAGCCAAAGTCCTTGGTGAGTGAGGGAGTGTGATTGAAAGGACTGTGATAACAGCAGCAAGGAAGATGGGAGCCAGAGAGCATGCCTCTCAGAGGTGATGTGCTTCGCTTTTGTTCTTGTTCTGTGTCTGGAAGCGGCAGGGGGGGGTCAGTGTTCCTGTAAGCCTGAGCTGGGTGATGAGGGACAATGAGCAGCCTCTTTTCAGGAGGAGAATGCTTCAGGATCCAACCTGCAAATAACAGGCTACTTGTATTTGGTATTTTGCTGTCTGTTGTGCAAAGAATTAGGCAGAATCTAAGGTATTTGCATTTTGAAGCTTTTCTATATGAAATTAACAATTTACAACACCTCTGTCCTTCTAAAACCTCATCTATTTCATGTAATTCAGGTGTGTTTATCGTTCAATCCTCAAAGCACATTGGTGGCTACCGGAAGTATGGACACAACGGCCAAACTGTGGGACATTCAGAACGGAGAGGAAGTGTTCACTTTAGCGGTATGTTAATAATGTCAATAACTTCAAGAGTTTTACATTCTCATTAGCCTTTCCTTAGGATAAGCCTATTATTTGTGTTTGTTTTTGTTGGGAATTTTATTACAAAATTAGCTCTCAGTGAGAAGATGCTTTTGAGTTACTGGTTTCCAGGCTGGAGTGAGAGAGTGTTCCAGTTGGTCTGCTGGCTACTCCCAGAGACTCAGATGGAAGTGCTGGGGAAGCCAGATGAGTTTTTATTTTGGTTAGCTTCAGTCTGTCAGCCATACCAACTATACCTTAAAATCTGTCATTATCTGTCTGGCTAAAAGCAAAATAGGTGGGAGCTGGCACCCTTTGGAAGAGGCAGAACTGGAGAATCTTGCAAGAAGATTCCTTAAAGGGATGACAGTTAACACTCTTCTCCTCCATCCTCCAGTCTTAGAAACCTCCTGTACTACCAAGTGGCGAGTGGCCGGAGGTGAAAAGCCCACAGATTAAAAGTTGGTGGTGTATCTCCACAGGGGCCCCTGTCTGTCGCCCCTACCACACATCCAGCACCTTCCTCTGACCTGCTGTCCTCTGCTTCTTCCCACCCCAGCCGTAACCACCAAGCAAAAATAGGGCAGGTCTCTGTGGCTATCGGTGGGAACACCTGGATGGGAAATCTAGTTTTCCTATCCTTTTACGTTATAAATGAGTTAAAAACATAGGACCTCTTTCCTGGGAGAGCTCTTTTTAAGAAAGTTAAAAAACAGACTGAAAAAAAAGAGAAAAAGCACTGTTTTTAACTGACACCAAGGATTTTTTTTGCCTTAGAATGCCTAGCATTATTAATTATTAATATAAGTATACTCTCTCTGGTCTTCATTCTCATCATTTCTGTTGGTCACTGCTTCTCCACTACCTGTTGCTTCAGAGGGATGCCTAAGAGCATTCAAAAGGATGCATCCCGCCCTGCACACCCACCCCTGTCTGCTGCCAGAGAATGCATTTGTTTTGTGTGATCAAAATTTTAATATTCAGCTACATTTTTTTTTGTCATTTGGAATCAACCAGAAATTTAATCTGTACATGAACTTTAGTGTTATTTGAAAAGGTAATCATGTTAATTTACTAAAATATTAAGGAAAATGAGGGATATACTCCAAGCAGAATCTACTTTAGAGAGGCACTCCTTCCTGTGGTCTCACAGTTTCATTCCTCAGCCCTGGTCTGTAACCAGGCCAAGGGCAGGCCAAAGGCCAGACATTTATTAAACAATTCACATTAAATTATCGTAAGAATTTCCTTTTTAAAAAGTTGTTAACTGTATTTCATAAACTGTTTTCTCTTACCTGTCACCTGTTATTAGCCTATAAAGCAAACAGCCCTCTTTAATGTTTCCAGAACAATGTGAAAGAAGCGTTCTGATTTCCCAAAACATACCCGCTTCTTTTCTTTACAAAAACAAAAACAACTTAATTGAGTTAAAACTGACTTGCTTTAAATGTATGTCAAGTTTGAGTAACCCAAAGGAATTGTGCAACCGTCACCAAAATCTAGTTTTAGACATTTCCATCACCCCCAAAAGAAACCTCATGCCCATTTGCAGTCACTCCCCATTCCCACCCCAGCCAACCACAAGTCTCCTTCTCCCTGTATAGCTTTGCCTTTTCTGGCATTTTCTTCTAAGCTATGATATTGTACATTTGTAGAACTCGCTTTATCTACAGGTACACATGATGGTATCTGCTCTCTTTTAGGGACATTCAGCTGAAATCATCTCCTTGTCCTTTGACACCTCAGGAAACAGAATCATCACGGGGTCTTTCGATCACACAGTTGTAGTGTGGGATGCTAATACTGGAAGGTATTCTTAATTTTAAAGAATTTTTTAACCTGGATCAAAGGATTAAGAAGACGATGTTTGTTACTAGTTTATTCTGGTATCTGTTAACTGTGCTCTGGTTTCCGTAGGAATAGGACATACTGAAAATGAATTAGTTCGTTCTTTAATGGTATTTCTGATCCAGAAAAAATGTGTGATTTCTTAGAATTCTGAACAAATAATGCTGAGCAGTAACAAAAAAGGAGAATGTTAGCAATAGCCTGGTTATATAGCTATTATTTATTCCACGTACTATGTAATCAAATTTCAATGGCTTGTCATTATGGTAGGCATGGATATCGTGAATAAATAATATCATGGCTAATTTCCCAAATTTAATTTAGTCCAAGAACTTCAATTTCCTTCCTAATTATTTTTGGTCCTAGTTGCTAAGAAGATAACTCAATAAGCCTATTTGTGTTGTAAAACTCTACTCTTGGACTTGCCTGCATTTTGATAGAGGGGCTGATTATCAGGGGTGCTGATCAAGATGAATACAACAGGAAGTAAGAGAGAGGAAGGGCCCTTCAGACATTTGATAGGTAGTTTCTGAACTGCCAGGGGTCCACTCATCTGGTGTAAGAATGCTTCCAGAATTTCAGACTACCTTTATTACTTCTTACCTGTTCTTTTCTGAAGTGTTGTCTTAAGGAATGTTATTATCTTTGATTGCTTAAAATATGTGTATGTGTGTTGAAATGAAATTAGTAGCCTAGTTGACTCCTCTTGTGCTATGGTAAGCTGTCTTTGTTCTGTCATCAAAGATGTTATTTGGTGAAAACTAAAGTTAGACTGTACATTGATGGGCTTGACATCATTGTTTGTGCATATATTGGAAGTAAGGCATCTTTCACCAGTTTGAGTCGTTTGCATTTTGTAGGAAGGTGTATACCTTAATTGGGCATTGTGCTGAGATTAGCAGTGCCTTATTCAACTGGGACTGCTCTCTGATATTAACTGGCTCTATGGACAAAACCTGCATGGTGAGCTAAAGAAATATCTCTGCTTTTTAATTCTTGTGTCTGTACTTGTTACTGTGTCAGATATTCATGACAACACTAACAAATTTCAAAGGTGCTGTAAAATTAAGATATTAATTCATAAATAATAATTTATTTATGTAATTGATTCAAATGTATTAAAAGATCCTATCTTAAAAGGCACATTATTTTTCTTTAATGCCCCTCTACTTATTTATTAAATTTTGATTAGAGCAAACATCAAGGCATCTCACCACAGTGTCTCCATGCCTTTGACTTTCTGTTACTAAGAGCTTATGCTCTGAAATTATTATTTGATTATACATCAGATTATAATAATCTTAATGTACTTTTCATTTTAGAGCATTGTAGGTTTAGATCAAGCTCATTATCATTTGAAGACCTTCATATGAAAAGAGGACACTTCCATTCCAATCAGTGAAGCATGCACTTTGAGATTTTTTCCTAACATAGTGGCAGATTTATATACTCATTCTGAATGTCTGTCTTCGGACTTCTCTGTGTCCAAATTGTGCCTTGTTAAATGATTGGCTTTGGCACGGTTATTTAACCAGCCATAAGCATGTCATAAAGCCTACTTTTGGCCATCTTTGCACTTTAGACAGGAAGTCATAGTCTTCTTCTTCTTTTGTTTAATAGCAGCTGTGGGATGCTATGAATGGAAAATGTGTGGCAACGTTAACAGGCCATGATGATGAAATACTAGACAGCTGTTTTGATTACACTGGAAAGCATATTGCAACTGCTTCAGCTGATGGTAGGTAATCTGTTCACACGTTTAAATTATGGAGAGTTTTGTGCTCTGTTTGATAAACATAGATGATTCTATGCTATATGTCATCTCCCCGATGGCCAGCTATGATAGAAACTATATCTGCCTCATCTCTATGATGTCTGTCTATGTCATTACACTATGTGTCATATTCTTGATAACCACATGTGGTACGATACATAGTCTGCATCATCTCCTTGACAACCACAATAAAATTATACTAGGTCTTCATCATCTCCGTGATAACTATATATAATGGTATATTCTGGGTCATCTCCCTGATGGTCATGCATTTTGCTACACTATGTTGACCTCATCAGCTTGACCACTATCAATGGTACTATAATAAATCTGCATTATCTGCTTTATAACCACATGTGCTACTCTACTATGTCTAGCTAATCTTTGTGATGAACATATATGGTTCTATGCCATACATCATCTTCTTGATTACTGCTTATGATTCTACACTATGTCTGTGTCATCTTATTTACAGCCATGGGCTGGTGCTACACTATGTGTGTCTCAGTTCCATGAAGATCACATATGATGCTATAATACATCTATTGTATAGTATTATATCTATTGACCATGTATGCCATTGTATTATGTCTGTCTCATCCCCCAGGACCTTTGCTACAGTATATCTGCATCGTCTCCTTGAAAGTGCAGTATTATGCTGTGCTGTGTTTTCATCCACTCCTTTAAAACCATGTTTGATGCTATGCCATATCTGCATCATATCCTTGATAACTACTTATGATGACATTACAATATATATCTTATTTCTTTGATGACAACACATCACATTACACTATGTCTACTCCATCTCCTGGTCACCAAGTAAGATACTACATTATGTATGCATCATCTTCCAGATGACCAGGTGGACACAATGCTGTCTGCACCATCTTCCTGATGACCATGCGTGATATTTCACTATACTCTTATCAACTTCTTAAAAACCATGTATGATGTTACATTCTACCTGCATCATCTCCTTGATTGCCACATATGATGTATACTATGTCAGCATCATCTCTTTGATAACCATGTATGATGCAGTACTAGGACTCATCTTGCTGACAGATATGTATGATGCTACGCTGTGTCTGCACCATCTCATTGAAAGCCACATGGAATGCTGCATGATGTCCGTATCATCTCATTGACAACCATCTGCATGGGCATATTACATCTCTTTGAACACCATGTGGGATGCGATACTATGATTATGTTTCTCCCTTGATCACATGTATGATACTACACTATTTCAAGGTTATTTCCTGGACAGTAACCTCTGAATATTTACAGTGTCTGATCTCCTTGATAACTATGTATAATGCTATTCTTTCATAATCTCCTTAATAACTAGGTATGATGTTATATATAGGATCATCACCTTGATGACAATGTATAACCCTAATCATTGTCTGTGCCATCTCCTTGTTACTGCATATGATGCTACAATAGGGCTGCCTCATTTTCTTGATAACTATATGATGCTACACTGTGCGTACTTCATCTCCTTAATAACTACTTGTGATGTTTTTATAAGTTTTCTCAATTCTGTCAAACACCACATATGATGCAGTACTATGCTTCATTTCTTTGATAACTGCGTAATTCTAAATTATTTATACATCACTTCCTTTACAACTATTTATGATGGTATATTGTGGATTATCACCAAGAGGAACACATCTGGTGCTATACTGTATCTGTTTGTGTCATCTCCTTGATATCCGTGTACGATGCTATAGAATGCATCACCTCTTTGTTACCAGTTTATTGCTATGCTGTGTCTATATAATCTGTTTGATAGTCTTTCATACTATATTGTGTCATGTCCTTGATAGCCACATACAGTGTTCCACTGTGTGCCTCATCTCCATAGAGAACACCTGTGATGTTACACCATGTCTGTATTATCTTCCTGATGACCACATATGTCACTGCATTGTGTCTACTTCATCTCCCCGATGACTATGCATGATGATATTTTGTGTCCACCTGATCTTCCTGATTACTTGCCTCGTGCTACCTTATATCAGATTTTACACCTAAAGAACCACCCTTGATGCTGCAATATGTTTCATCACCTCCTCGAAAACCATGTTGAATGCTACGCCAAATCTGTCTCAGCTCCTTGATGGCCGCTTGATGCTAGAGCATGTTACACCTTTTGTTATACCTTTGGTGACAATGTATTACACCACGCCATATCTTAACAGACATTTAAGAAATTCTCGCAAAAATATACTGCTTTTTCTAGACGTGACCTGTCATTTGTTTGCCTGTGTTTGCTCCTTGTGACTAACATACTTTTAAGTAGTCACATATCCTTTGTGCTGGAATCAGTTGTAGAATTTTACTGGTGATTCATTTGAATTCCATAGTCTTTGTTTCATTGTTGTCTCCCTTTTCAAAATTACATTTACATGCTTATTCTCTTACTCACTAGGACTTTTCAAAGGTGATCTTTTAATCACACATACAAGTCCCTTTTATATCCTGGAATATAAACACCCTGAATGCGGAGAATTTTATTTTTTAAAGTAACTCTTTACTTTTTCATCCTTCTCACAGATCTTGGCTTTTAAAAATCATCTCTGAACTGTAATTAATCTGCCCTTTTCATTTTAAATGTCATTCTCATTTACACAAAAAAATACATTCAACAAATACATATGGAGTACTTACTTTGTGCCAGGAATTGTTTTAGAAACATTGGATATACCAGTGAACAAAAGAGAGAGGAATCCTTCCCCTGGTGGAGCTATGTTGTGGAGGGTGAGACAATGAACAATGTCATGCATGTGTTTTATATATAATGTGAGAATATTAAGAGTTGGTTAGCGCTGGGTGGGGGGGGTGGGGGGCGGGAAACAAGCTAGGCTGGCAGAGCAGGATGTGGAAGGACGGATGAGAATAAAATATGAGTTCAATTCTTCTAGCTTTGTTTTCTCTGTCATCTGCTATTTCTCCTAGCAGTGATTCTATTCTTTCCTTGTTCAGTAAGACATTACTTCAAGAAAATCTTTTTTTCTTTTGGTGTGTTTTGTAAACCTCTTCTCATTCTATGCCTTCTAAGAAGTCTTGATGTTTAGACCAATCTTTTTTGTTTATCTCTGGTCTTTGCTCCTCATTCGCTTCTTAAAACTGGGTCTCATTCAACAGAGTTAGTTACCTGGCAAGCTACATCTGTTCCTTATATCACCATTTTCTTCCTCATTGGAATTACCCTCTAGGCTGAATGTTTTTTTCTTTGTGCCTTATTCCTATTTCTAGTTTTAGAAAAAATTACAGTTTCAGGCTGTGTTATTTCTGTGTTTTACGAAATGTAAAAATGCTTTTGTAAAATTTAGAGTATGACTCTATGCAGGATATTTCCTTTTGTCTTATTAAGAAACTCTTAAAACAAGTTGGTCACTTTCCTTTAAGGCTTTTGCAATCTCCAACTAAGTAGGAGTGTGATATTTTTAATCGCATTAATTCTAAAATAATTTTGTCTACTTCCTCCTGAAGTTGACGTTTTCAGAAAGGTAAGTAAAAAATTTGTTGAGATGTTTTTCTTTTCTCTGAATGAAAATTAAGTAACCAAAATTCCCTATCCTTGCTGATTTTACCTCTATTTGATGCTGTAATTTGCAATAAGAAAGCCTCCTTAGCCTGGCCAGATAAATTGTAACTTTTTTTCTGACAACAATTTCACTACAGTTCTTTTTCTCCTTCTATGCTTATTTGACTTCTCCGTTCTTTAATTCTAAAGAAATGTATTTACTTCTTCATCCATCCATCCATCATCCATCCATCCGTCATTCATTTACTAAGCGTCTACTATGAGATTGGCACTTCTGGGCACCGGGGATACAACAGGGAACAAACCGTTCTATTGGCTCTTTCTGTTGAAAACGGTTTCCAGTGCCTGTTCTTTGTTCATTGAGCAGTGCCCCTGTTCCCTCTTAGTCAGGCCTCTCACACCTTCTTGTGACTGTATACTCATATTTGGTGTATGGTGATGATTTTGCTGCTTATTTCATCACCAGCCTCACAAGACTTGTTCTGATTCCCTTTTTTTCCTTTAAAATCCTTTTTCTTTCTGGATTCCTGCCCCTCCCCCCTTTCTACCTTGGCACTCATTATCTCTTCTAATAAGCTCAGGACTAGAGAGGTACTCCTTTTCACCATCTTCTCCCACAGTGGGACCAGCTTGCATTTAGAATATTAAGTGGCTGGCTCTCACCGCAGGCAAGAAGACAAACTTAGCACAGGGCTTGTGTGTCAGAGGAATAGATATTTAGATAATTCAAGGCATATGGTTCAAAGTTCTGTGTTTCAGATGAATTTATATCTATCCTCACTCCTCTCAAAAAGGAACAGCAAGAGTTTTCAGTGCAGCCACAAGGAAATGTATTAGCAAACTGGAAGGCCATGAAGGGGAAATTTCAAAGGTGAGTTACTTTCTAATTTGGAGCAGTTTCCTTACTTTCAAAAGTAGACAGCATGCTTAGTATAAATAGTTCTATTGGCGCTGAGGGTACTAAGGTTTGTCTAATTATCTCATTCCTTCTGAAAATCAGTTACCCACACTTTACTTTTAAGCGTGTCCTCAAATTCAGCATAATAAATGATTTCTAAAACCTTTCAAAAAGCATAAAACAGCGTTCTCCTCAGCCATCAGCAAGAGATTTAGTTAGCTGAAAATATTTATTAAAGCTGTTTAAGAAGCTTATGGAGTGCATTTCCCAATTCTAGTAAACACACAAATTTGTATTATGCAAAAATATGCTGTGCAGCAAGTGTCAAGTGTTCTGTTAATCAGATGCTACTGAGGAAGTATTTCTTGGAAATATTTAACACTTATCAAAGTTTAAAATGACCTGTTTTGAAACAAAGCTGCAGCTAAGGATTTTGTATAAGCTCGTCCCAAAAACTTGTTCGCAGAGCAGGGCCATCCGGTCAGTGATCTGAGGTTTTAGATGTATCCGTGGAAAATTTTAGAGAAGGGTGGGACGTGATGACTCTCACCTCCCTGCTTAGCCCAATTCCTTGGTCTCATACCTGAGGTCAGATTTGCTCCTTCCTTGTAAAATATCAGCTTGATGGTTTCAGGGGTCAGAAGGCTCCGCCTGGACCCCGGAACTGCCCACTGCCCTATTCTCTTCTCTCCTGCTCTGCACCTGCTGCCGGTGGTTTGCTGGCCTATCAGAGCTGGTCTCTGAGACAGTGCAGAGCACATCTTCTTTGCAGGCTGGGAGGCCCTAGGGACTGGCAGGAAGAGGGGTGGGGAAGTGTGGACATGGGAGACAGGCTGAGGAGAGAGCCTGAGCCATGTTCCCAAGTGTCTGACCTAGTAGTTATTGACAGGGCTAGTGTGTCCCACTCAACAAGTTCACATCTATTTGTGTGTGTGTGAATATAAAGAGGACCCAAAGTCTGTATTATTGAATTTTATGTTTGTTAAGTGATATATTGCTTATTGAATTGCCATCCAGCAATGGCATTTCTCTGGAGTGCAAAGCTAAAGGGTTCATTCATTCATTTAGCAAATGCTTTTTGAGTGTTTCCACTGTGCTAGGCACTGGTGACCCAGTGATGAAAAAACAGACATGGCCCTGCCCTCATCCAACCTTCAGTTGTAGAGGAGGTGGCCCAAATCGTTGTCTTCCGATGGTCTAGAGAGGGTTATAAGCATGATGCCCAAAGGAATGGAAGACTAACAGTTTCATTTGCCTGCCGCACAGATACCATTTGATAATGCCTGGCATGTTAGGAGGCACTCAGAACATATTCGTGGAAAGTGCTGAATTTTGAGTAGCAATAGAAAGCCCCCTCCTGTAGGCCCTGACTTATATTCTGGCATAGATTGAAGGAGGATCTGTGTGCGTTTGATTACAGAAAGTTGGGTTGCAGAGATGGCAGTGGGTTTGGGTATGAAGGAGACCAACTTAATAAGGCATCTTGAGTCTTGGAAAGAAGCCAAGGGGGGAATACTGAAATTGTCAGGGTGCTTTGGTCTTTATCCTTAGAATTGTGAGGGGGGAGGCAATTAAGCTTTCTATCTAGATTTTAATTTTCGTGTGTTAGTCCCTGCAATATTTTTCCCACCGTGGAGGAACTGCTCTATGCAAGACTAAATACCAGGCTGGGACGGTGACAGGTACTGAGCAATGTCCTCTTTTTGCTAGTTAAAAATATATTGGGAACCATTATGCAAACCTGTGATCATTTTTTCTTTCTCTTTTGTAGATTTCTTTTAACCCCCAGGGAAACCGTCTTCTAACTGGCAGTTCTGACAAAACGGCGAGAATCTGGGATGTTCAGACTGGTCAATGCCTGCAGGTTCTTGAGGGGCACGCTGATGAAATCTTTACGTGTACTTTTAACTATAAAGGCGACATCATCATTACAGGTAGGGGAGAAATCACCACCACAGACTCAGTTTTCCTTTTAAATCAGCTATTAGAGTTTCTAAGCTGAATACCAAAAGGAATTCACCCGCACCCCTCACCCTTCTTCCAGGGTCTCTGCTCATCTTGCTGCATTCTACATCCATTATTTTAGTTGCATTGCAGAACCGCAGGAGTGAGCTCTGTTACTGACTGTGAGACTTTGTGAATTTTGAGTTTTTGTTGCTCTGGGGAAAATAAGAATTTAGTAGCCTGCCTTACTGGTTACTACATTTCCCTGGGCATCAACCGTCAAATGGTTAATTTTCAGCTGATGTTAGTAAGTTTTAGTAACTAAAACAAGTCAGGCCCGAGTTCTCCACCGCTGGATTTATAGCCCATTCAAGGTTTATTCTTGGAGCTAAGTTGTTTTCTCCTTGGGTGTCCCCTGCTAACACATTAATGTTAGGGGAAAAGAACACATTTTGAGCATTTTTCAACCACTAACAATCTATTGTGAATTAATCATATAAGCAACATTTTATAAGAACTGGATTGAGAATAGGTGAATTTAGATTGCGGAAAGTAGGGGGATGACAAGAATATGGTGTAATGTTAATGTGGTTCCTCTGGAGGAGGCCTTGGCAGGGAGTGGGGTGCTACCACTGAGGGGGAGGGATGTCCTAAGAGGGCACAAAAGACCAAGCTCTCAGTGATCCTCATTGTGTCGAGTAGATTTAAAAATTGCTTATCTGGTCTAATAACTTAAATGTCACACACTCGTGCTTGGCTTTATATATTGGCTGATTAGGTAGCTCCCTAGTCATATAACTTCAGGGGTGCTGAGAATACGCTCCCCTTTTGCCCTAAAATACCTCCCCTTTCTACCTAATTATGGATAATTTCTAAAATTTCAGATTACTTTCTTTGGGTTTACGACTTGCAAGTGTTACTAAAATGTAGATACTCCTAAAATGATACATAATAAGCCATATATTTTATTGTGAACACAAAATCAAATCCTTTCCCATGATGAGAAAAGAGGTGGGAGGCTGTGATAGAGGGCACAGGATGCTCCTGTAGGGAGCTGCTGCCAAGTAAGGGAGAAGGAACCCAGGGCCGGGTTGTCAGAGGACCAACCTCTCCTGGTCCATGTGTCTCATGTTAGCCAGCTCTGCAATATCTCTGCTCTCGACTGCAAAAGACCCTGGAGAGCTTAAGGAGGGAATATTAATTGTCTGTGCCTTGTTTTAGAGCTGGCACTTAAATTCCTGAGCTCTTTTAAGATATGATTGATTTATTTAGTGTATCCCAATGCAACAAGGTGCTAAATACTGGCCCACTGGACGACAGAGCTTGTTAGAATGGGGGGTCATACTTCTGTCTTGCCAGCAGAAAAGCCATCACCTTGTTTGAACCGATCTCGCCTATTTTCTCGGCAGCCCCCAGTGTGATGAATTGCTTGCATGTCTTAGTGGACTGCCTGAGCTTGGGTTTAGAATCACAAACTGGAAGAAAACTGGCCATCGTGTTCACAACATTTTTAAAAACATGAAGTACCTTTTGGTGGAATAATCAGTTTTCACAGGCTTTCCCAATCCTCATAGCCCCCACACTTCTTATATTGATGTTACGAGTCTGGCCCCTGAGGTTTAGAGAACCAGCAGGGCCCAGTACTTCTCCACACCAGGGTTGTCATTTCCAAAGAGGGAATGTGAATGGTGCCCCTTGGGGAGGAGTATATGAAAGCAATTTGGAAGAGTCTCTATCATAGTGATGGGGAGGGTGGGAAGATGCAAATTTCATATTTAGACGGATGATGAGAAGACTCTATTGACATTTTGAGGTATTCCAAAGTGGAATGTGCTGCTTCCTCATAAACTAATCACCCAAACCTGGGGATGGTCAAATTCACTGTATTTCCATTCGTGGTGATGTTCAAGGGGAGGGCAGAGGGAATAAGCAGAGGGAAATGACTGAAGTGGGGGCTTTCTCAGGTCCTCTCCAATTCTAAGATGCCATCAATCTTTCTGGTGTGAGGAGGACATGAACTTGCTCACTTAAGGACTGACAGAAATCAGGCAAAAAAAAGAAAGAAAAAGAAAAAGATTCCCTCTAAAAGAAAAAGATTCACGCTAAAAATGCCTGAACTTGGCTGCACAGGGGCTCTGAAGCTGGGTGCTGAGAATCTAGCACATTTAGCACATTGATAACCGACAATGACCCAGAAAATGTCAACTTGTAAAAAGAGAGAGGTAAGTGAATAAAATAAAGAAAAAATAACTGTGAAATTTGTTTTATTAGGCAGCAAGGATAATACCTGTAGGATATGGCGTTGACTGAAGAAAGCCAGTCGATGAGCAAACTTGCCGGCCATAGTGATTAAGATCTGGAGCTTTGCAAATACTAAGCAAGCTGTTTTGATATTTTGTATGTTTTCTCTTTTTCCTCAAATCACCCGTTTATACACTGTTCTTAACTTCATGGATGTGATCATTAAAACTGATGAAGTTATATCATTTCTTGATATTATTTGATGGAGATGACAGGAAACAGCATAATGTTGGGCAAATGCCACTGGTTATTTCAATTTTGTTTTATTTTTTAATAGCATCATGATACTGATAAATGAAACCATAGTAATTTAACAATGTGTCTCCTAGATTATACTTTGAAGATTATTATTATAATTACTGTTGAATAAAGTTTTGGAGAAAATTCACTGTGAATTATACACCTCTATTTATCATGTATGTTTTTAGGGGGACATGTATGTTAGGAATTTAATTAGAAGTTTTACTATTTAGTTATTTTACTTTTTGCGGCTAAGAATGAGAAAGGCAATTTTGGAATAGAAGATTAATCTTTCTTCCCTCATATTCAAGAATATATCCACGCCCATCCCTCCAAAAAAAGTTGAGGACCTATGATGAATAAAATGAGGGCAGCATATAGCGAAAATAAAATGGCTCTCAATCAACAGCTAATATATTCTGGATAAACAGTTGGCTGAAAAAAATGTAGGCAGGTTTATCTATAAGGAAAAGCTAAGCAGAATAGACTTTCAGGCTATTGAAGTTAAAAATCTGGGTGGAAAACAATTGAGGTACCAGGGCAAATCATCAAACAGCAACCTTATTGCTGCCGAAATGCTAAAAAATGCTTTGTAAAAGGCCTTTCTATGTAAAAGGACCACGATGCATATTATGTGAAAAGATAGAGCACAAGATAAAACCAGTGATGCCTGAATCCAGAGCAAGAGAATGCATGAGAATCTTATGGAATTATTTTCTTAGTAATAAAAACAATAGTCAACGTGGCCTGAGTGCTTACTGCGGGCCAGACGTTGCCCACCCACTTTACGTAGATCATCTCATTAACCCGCCTAGCGACTGTTACAAAGCAGATAACAGACCTGATTTTAAAATAAGGGAGGCGAGTCACAGCGATGCTAAATAATTTACCAAACATATCACATGTTAGATGGTGAAGCCGGTTTTAAAACCCAGGGATCTGGGCTCCATTACACTACGTTCTTAAGTAAACAAGGTTTAATTACGGGAGAAGAGTGTCAGATGTGTCAGTAGGAAGGTCTGGGGTGAGGCTTGCCTCTCAGAGCATCTATGGATGTCTAGCCCTCAAGAAGAAAAGATAAAACAAAAGCAAAATAAAAGAAACAAAAGCTTCAATGCGGCTGCTGGAAGCAGGAAATTCAGAGACGGCAAAGCAGAGGAGAGCTTGCGTTAGAGGAAAGTGGGCCAAACTTGGCTATTTCTTTTAAAATTCTAAAAAAGCAGCAGGCACTGACTCTTCTGACTCTTTGGTGGCTTAGGGAAGGTGGCCATACTGGTTTGTCACATCAGTTGGGAGTTGCCAATGTGTGGTCACGGTGACCATCCTGTGTCTTACAGACCAGTTTAGGCCTAAGAAGCACTTAGCCAGAAAATGGCTTGTTCCTCTAATTTTTATGTATTGAGAAAGTCTTTATAGAATGTTTATGAAGGTTTCAAGATATCCCAGCCTATTTTTAAAAAATAAGTGTTTAAATACTTAAGATCATAGAAAAGTGATAATATACCCCACTTTGTTTTCATCTGGAGTTTTGTAGGGTGTAAGCGACGTGTGTGTGGGGTCTGAAGTCGGATTGCCTGGATATGTATTCTGATTCCACCTCTTTAATTGTTGGGCAAGTTCCCTCGCCTCTCTGTCTCAGTTTTCTCATCTGGGAAGTGGTGATGCTAGTTCTCATTTTGAGGATTAGGAATACCTGGCATGCAACAAGCGTGGTGATAAATGCTCACTGTTATTCTTATAATCAATGAGTTCACAGTCATCTTGAGAAAGATATTTCATATATGAACACATTTCTCTGTAAAGAATACAGTGTTGTCTACTCAGAAATCACACTTGGAATACAACTCACTTTAGTGTGTTCTAGATATCTTAGGGAGAATTGTGTAGGTCAAGTTTTTATTAATTAAAATTTAAGTGTCTTGGGATAATTATCCTTTTAAAAGTTCTTTGTTGAACAGATGAGCTCAGAAGTGAGATCATCAATATAGATCTGATTCATCTTCATATATTTAGATTTTGTATAGGATTTTATGAAGGTGGATCATCCTCATAAAAATGAAACATCTTTTCCAACAACTCATGTCTAACACTACAGTAGCTCATGATTTAGCATCATGCCTGATTTAAAGACAAAATAAATGCTTTTTGAACTAAACAATGCTTTTTATACATGTTGCGTTCCATTTAAAAATTTATCAATAATCTTTTAGTTTTAATTACAGATAAATTTATTATCTTTTGTCTTTCCACTGCTGCTGTAACTACTAAAACAGTTTACCTTTTTGAGTCACCAAAGGGGCAAAATTTGAAGTAAAACAAAAGCTATTAAGATATTTAGAGACATACTCCTTCTCAAATACAGAAGATTATATACTGACTCAAAATATCTACCATCATTTTAGTTATCTTACCAAGATTATTTTATGTTTTGTTTAATTCAACTTACTGTTATCTTGGTTAGGATGGTTTGGGCTGCAAGTAACAAAACATATTATTAGAACAAGGTCAGTCCCTAGGGTGGTTATTCAGAGACATGTTGACTCAAGGACCCAGGGTTTGGGGGCCTTCCTCTCTGCCATCCTTGTTGGCTTCTGTCCTGTGCACCCTTTCTAGTTGCAAGATGGCTGACACAGTTTTCTTAGTTTAAATATCTTGCCATCTCTTTTAATCTCATCAAATCCAGAAGAGAACTTCTTACTACCCTCTCTATTGTTTCCATTTCCCTTATCATTTTAGCAGTTCTATTCCTGTGAACAATGGAATCATCTTTCACTTTTTTCCCTTTCTTTTCTCTATCTACACACCAAATCATGAGCACTTTCCTCAATTAAAAAATAAATCCCAGCTATTCAGTCTTATTTTCATTTTAATCTGTATAGTCTCATCACCCCCCTGACTAGAAACCAAAACAATCTTCTAGTTAATTACCCTGGCTTTCTTTTCTCTATCAGATTATTTCTTTCTAAAATAAACAGAAAAAAAATCTCTGAATATTTATATATTTTACAGTTTACAAGACTTTTGCATAAATCACTTCCAAGAGTGAAGTAGAAATTATTACAGCTCAAAGTTAGAGCTGCTAACATATGTTTAGGCTAACACGTGTTTGGGTGGCTTGCCCAAGGTCATTTGGCCAATAGGTAGCCAGACATGAACTCAAAGCTAGAAAGACTGTGTCCTACAAATACTAAACGATGGTGTGATGCCTGTGAGTTTTTTGACATGGTTAGTGTGTGTTTTATGTACTGGCATGCTTAACTTCTTTTTCTTTTTAGTTGTCTGGATTTCTTTTGAATCCTCAGAATAAATAACTTTTAAAAAATAAATATGATGAAGCATGGTGCTTTTTTTCCAATTAGTAAGAGTTCCAGTTTGGATATTTACTATGCGTACAATTATTTAGTAACGGAGTCCCAATTCCTTATGGCCTGATAATCCTAAATTCGCTCTTCTCCCAGAAATGGTAATGTAACAGATTAGAAATACGTCTTGCAAACATTTGCAGATACTAAATGAAAAATTAAAAATAATAGCTCTTGGAACTATAAAAGAGCAAAGGCTTAAATTCTTATTATTCACACTTAGTGAAAAGGTAGATACAATGATAACCTAGGCGCTCCATTTAGTAATATAAAGACCTGCGTGAAATTGTAAAAGCAAGGTGTTCATTCTCAACTGGAAGTTTTCCTGCCCTGTAACAATAGCCACAGTAAGAGTAGGTCCCTACTCACTATTACCGTGCAATTCATTTCACAAAAGCAGGGTGTTGGAACCACTCTTTCTAAGCCAAATACTCTTTCTAAGACAATGGAAACTAAGACAAAGACATGAGTTTATAAAGTAGGGCTCCCCCTATTTTAAAATGTGTATTTATTTAATTGCTTAGTAAAATTGTCTAACCTTAATAGAAAGATACACGCAAAATGAAGTATCTGAAAAAAATTAAAAGGTTTAGAAAACTTAGAGCAAGAGAGACTACAAAAGCCAGTTAAAAAGTACTCATTATGTTAAGTAAATTGAGTTAATTTTGTTTAATGAAATCAATGTTTTATTGAATGAATATAATTAATGAATAATTCTATATGACGTTTTTCCCCTCTGATTTGTATAATTGCATTTCTGAAACTGAATATTTCTCTAATGGCCATTATTTACTACAAAGAGTTGCGTTTTTAAATGTAATGTGTTGTATCCAAGGTAGTAATTTTTGACTTATCAAAATAATTAGCCTAGTGGCAGATTATGATTCTCATATGTTTTCTTCCTTTCCTTCATATTAGAATGAGTTTATCACTCTTAAAATATGGGCCAGGTCTACCTATATGGTAAAAAGAAATATAGATTGTACGATAGAAAAGTTTCCTCCCCACAACTGTAGCCACTCTGGTGAAATCCTTGATCCTGAGTAGATTTTCTTAGCAAGACTAGATTAGATTATAGCTTCTCATCACTTGATCCGTGGGTATCAGAACCTACTTTCTGTTATTTGGCAAACTCCATCTCTTATATTGTTATTGTTCTTGATGTAAAAGTAGATATTGAGATTCCTCAAAAAGTTAAACATAAAATTACCGTATGACGTGAAAATTTCACTCATGGGTATACCCAAAAGAATTGAAAACTTGTACTTAAAGACATGTACACACGTGTTCATAGCAGCATCATTCACAATGGCTCAAATGTCCACCAGTGGTGCATCGATCAACAAATTGTGATATATGTACAATGGAATCTTATCCAGCCATAAAAATGAATAAAGTACCGACACATGCAACAACTTGGGTGAATCTTGAAAACATTATGTTAAATGAAAGATTCCAGACACAAATGGTCCCATACTGTGTGATTCCATTTATATGAAATATCTAGAATAGGTAAATCTGTGGAGACGGAATGCAGATTTGTGGTTGTTAGAGACTGGGGGGAGGTGAGGAATGGGGAGCAACAGCTTAATGGCTACGAGGCTTCCTTTTGAAATGATGAAAGTACTTTGGAATTAGAGGTGGTGATTGCACAGCACTCTTAATATACTAAATGTTACTGGCTTGTTCACTTTTAAATGGTTAACAATTTTCTGTGAATTTCACCTCAATTAAAAAAAATAATGTTGAAAGCTCAATCCATTTTCACAATCTTTTGCAAGTGGTAAGTAATC